CGCCCCCCCCCCCCCCCCACCCCCAAAAAAAAAAAAAAGAAAAAAAGGTGCCATAAGAGAAAAAAGACTTTGTTGTTAGGAGCATGCATTTGTGCTAATGAAAAACAAAAACAAAAAAACCCAAAGAAAACACCACCCCAAAAAAGCCCAAACCAAAAAAAAAAACCCAACAAAAAAACCAAAGAAAACTCAGAAAAGGCGGCTACAAGCAAACAAGCAAAAAGAAAAGAAAAAAACCCAAAACATCAGACTGTTTTTCTGGCCAGTCAAAAACTACTCACATGTTCAGTAGTATCATCATATTCCCACTGATTGAGAGTAAATAGAGTTGGAAGGAAAAACAAAAGAAATGAAGATATTTGTAGCCTGTTTTCTTCTTAATAGCAAAAGAAATAAAAAAAAAATAACGGAAAAAATCATGTGCCATTTGAATTAATCACGTAGAATCACACAGAATTTGGTTAATCGGAATCAGGCCAGGCATTTTTAATTCCATTTCTGCTCTCTCTAAAAAACCAGCCACTTATTTTTCTTTGAAAGGTGAAAGAAGTAATGAATCCTTTTGTACCATGTAGTTATATTTTATAAAAGATCATATTAACAATAGCTACCAAGGCAGAATTAAAGGCTACCTGTTTTTTTAATCATGTTACTAGGCTATATGCCTGAGTTTCCTAAATTAACTCGTCAATGCCTTATTTAAATTAACAGCAGGATTTTGTTAGTCTTGAAACCTAACCACACTGATCTTCTGTCATCAAGATTTCATACCTGTACAAGTTCTGATCTCATGTATCACAGAGTTATGATAGGCAGGAAGGGGTGGGGAGAGGAGAAAGGAAGTGACTATAGAGAGTGAACCAATGGCGAAGACAGGTCAAAGCCAAATCTGGCAAAAAAGGAAATACAAGTCTTGCCTTTATGATATTTGGGCTTTTAATATCTCATCTAGTCTCTAGTTTCTGACCTTTCAAACTACTTCTGACCTTTTAAACTGCTAGCACACAGAAGCTGAAAGTGAAAATCTGTGCAAGAATGGGGAGAACCAAAGTGCGGCAGCATCTCCTTTTCCATCTCCTCTTCCTTTCCCTTTCCCTATTTCCCCACCTGTTTTCATCTTTCTCTCCAGTTAATTTAAGCTATAAAAATACCACATTTTGCAAAAAAGGTAAGTACATACAGATAGACAGACTGGCCACTAAAACTGCATAAAGACCTCCAGGAACAGAGGCAATAGTTTGAGAAAAGGGTCATCAGCAAAATGCAGGTGTAGAATACCTGTTCTCAAAAAAGGTATCTGTAGAACTGAGATTTAGAGCTAAGACTGGAAGAAAAAACAAAAGAAGCCAAACCCCATTTATTTAATCACATAAAATGCTTAAGAGGCAAGTTCAACTCTTTGTGCTAGATTCATCATTTCCTACCATTACCAATCATTCCAGCCATAAATTGAGAGCTAGAAGTGAGAGGTGTGTCTTGCTGATAGTTTCAATGTAGGATGAATGTATTCCTCCACTACCAGGTGCCTTGGGAATCTTCAGTTCTACAGAGAACTAGTGTATCTCACCAGTAAAATCATATTTTTAGAACCTTTTTGAACTTGATCAGGGTGGGGTTTTTTTTGTTATGTTTCATAGTTCATAAAACAGATGGGAAACATTGCAATATAAGTAACTCCATACCCGTAGAAATTAAGCACCTCATTTTATTGCACAGTTACTGATACAGATAATGACAAGTATAAATACCTTAGTGATTTCTAAAGTTGCACAAATAAATTAATGTCTTTTGAAACACGTGGTGAGGTGGATACATGCTAATGACAGAAACACTGTAATAATGAGCCCACACAGGCTTCTAATTTTTCTAGGTTCTCCACTGAAACACAGAAATATCTGGTGGGTGGAATAGACAGTGCTCAGTTTGCTCTATTGACTGTGACCAGGCTCAGATCTCTCTGATGCTTTAAAACTTCAGAGCATAGGTTATAGGGTGAAGCCTTCAGGTTTCAGGAAGCCAGTGGAATGACACAGTTTAGCATTTAGTTCCACACTTATATAGAAAAGGGTCCCTAGGTTGGGCACAACAACCTTTAAAGGTATTCTGGAAAAAAAAAAAAGTTGTTAAAATACAGATGAAATTCTAGAGATGTTAAGTAGATGGCTGAAATAAAGAAAGAAAAAGAAATGCAGTCATGGATAGCTCTCTGGTACACAAAATATTTTCACTGTGACTCAGAAAAGAATATAAAATATGCCAATTACCTGTGCATCAGCCAACATGATGTCCTTCAGCATGGGCTGACCCTTTGACTCTCCATTTTCCATTCTCACATAGTGGACCTGGTATCCTCGGATCTGACCATGCTGCTTATTGGGTAGAGGTGAGCGCCATGACACTTTAACAGCAGTAGAGTTGACAGCCTCTACCTCGACTTTGCGAGGAGGACCACTAGGAACTGGAACAACATCATTGGACAGAAGAGAATTACAGGCACCTGTCCCACCCATCTCTTTGTTTGTTTGGTTTTTTTTTAAGGGCAGACTCACTCATGGTTTCTCTGAAGAATATAAATTGTTCAACAAATGAAAATGCTCAACCAATCTGCTCTACCTTTCAGTGAAAAGATCAAAAAATATGACTGATGCAAAAAATGGAAGAAAAAGGAGTATTAGAGAATATAGAAAAACATGTAAAAATGTACAAAAGCCAAGGAAGATGCTTTGAGAGTCAAAGCATTATAGTACAAAGAGATATTTTAATCATTGAAATACTACTATTACTACTGCTACTGAAAACACAAAAGATTTCAAAAAAAGATTCTCTTATTTTTTATTTAAATTGTCTTTTTTGGTTTTTTTTTGTTTTGTTTTGTTTTGTTTTTTTCAGTAGTATAAAAAGGAGGCTGATAATAGGGCTGTCTTCTGTCACTTTCAAGCATGGAAGAAAAGAAATGTGTGGAGCATCAGTTTTCCAAGATCAAAAATAAAACTAAAAAAAAAAAACCATCAACCGAAAAAAAAAAAAACAACTCAAAAAGCATAACATGGAACAAGAAAGCAGTTAAAAAAAAAAAACAAAAAAAACCAAAAAAAACCCAAAAAAACAACAAACCAACAAAACCTGAAAAAACGTTCCTAGACATAAGTGTTTAAAAATAACAATGATTGAAAAGGCAGAAAGATTTTCCTCTGAGTGTTATTTTTCTGTTAAAGAAGGAGCAAGAAGGATATGTATGGGCTCAAAGAAGCAGCAGATTCATGTCACTTACAAAAAGGTACTTTCTGTTAAAAAAGAATAAAAATACCAAGTATAAAAATGGTGTAGAAAGGACAAGTCTTTGATTAAAAAAACTCAAAAGGTGCTAACATCTGTGATTTGGAAAAAAAAAGAGGAGCAGAAAAAAATACTGTTAGGCTATACAGAAGACAGCAGATCGACAGAGTCATAGAGGTGCAAACTGATGTAGTGGAGGCAACATACCATCTTCATCTGTCCGAATCAATACTGCTAAGCTCTCTGGGCCAGGTCCAACATCAGTGTGGGCAGTCACAGAGATCCGGTACTCAGTCCATTTTTCCAGCTGTTCCAAAAGGTATCGGGTACTGTCCGAGGAAATTCCCAAAATTTCATGGGGCTTGACATCTTCTCCATCAATCCCAATGTACTTGATGGAGTATTCAGTGATAATGCCATTCTGTTTTTCCACCGGTGGAGGTTTCCAACTTACCAAAATGCTAGTGGAGCTGGGGCTTGTGCAACTAATGTCTTGAGGAGGAGCTGATGGCTCTAATTTCAGTAGTGGGTTAAAGAAGGATTTGAGTGAAAGGATAGGAGTGATCAAAAAAAATGAACAAAAGAAAAAATAAAAATAAATAAAAGGAAACCAAATGAAAATAATAAATAAAGCTAAAGAAAAAATAAAAGTAGAAACTTAAAACAGCAAAAAGTCAGATAATCATATGCACCTTGGCTTATTAACATGAGGAAACTAAAAATGAATAGACAACTAAATGGTGAAAAAGTATGCAGGGAAAATATATGAAGATGAAACCTCAAAATAATGTTACCTACCTGTAATTAAAATTCTTCTTGAAATAAAACAAAAACGTGACACTTCTATGACTACTGATCTATCTTTATAATAATCGCAATTAGTGCAAGCTAAAATATTTTAAATGACACATGACATGTAGTACTTACAAAATTTGGATATATACCCTTCAAGTGGGTTTACTTTGAGAAAAATTCTCTTTTTACAGAACGCCTAAAAACTTGCAATAATTGCTAGAAATTGCTCCATAAATTGCCATTTTTTGCCATTATATAGTGTAATTTTGCCACTATTATAAACTATTATTTTTTCAGGATTTTTTTTATAACTGAGTCTGCCTGGCACATGTCAAACATATTATGTTTAAATGGAAAGCATTTTGTGAAACATTTATTGTAACCAACATACTAAGAGCATGCAGTCAACAGAAGATGAAGAGTCTTAGTCAAAGTCTTACCTACCAGGAATAAGTGACAGGCTTGTTGACTCTGACTGTAAGTTGTACTTACCCTAGATCAGCTGTCAGTTTTACTTTTTTTAACTCCTCTTGGAGACACCTTTGCTAGCAAAGAATTAAATCCTACCAGTAATGTAGGTAACTTCTACAGGAAAAAAAAAATCTACCCCCAAACAACGTGTCAAGAAAGCAGGTATTAATTTACAGAGTTCACAAGCTCAGCACATCAGAACAGTGAGAGAGTCTAACTTGGTTTCATCTCTGGTTACCAGCACCAATCTTCCAGAGCAAAAGTGCTCACATTTACTGATTTGTACTCAAAAGGAGTCTGTAACATATTTACCTTTTCTGGGCTCCAGAGCATTTAAGCATGTATGTCATTTCACTGCTTTCAGTGCCTCAATTCATGTACTGAAAGTTAAGTGTGCATTTATGTGCTTAAATGCACTTTGATTTAGCAAAATCCATGCTTTCTACCTGAGATCATTCAGAGCTCAAAAAAAGGAGCCGTAGCTCAAATTCACTGGCAGAAGTAGTGGACATGGACTCCTTTCCTATTTCTGCCTTCTCTTCTCTCTTGTAAGGAAAACACAAACTTTGGGTGCAAGATTTTTATGGTGCGTTTTTTTTTGTTGTTGCTTTGGTTTTGTTTTGTCTACTATTTTTTTCCCCATTTCTTAAGGAAAAAAAGGAAATACATGGATTTTTGGTACTTACACTACGCACATCAAAAAACCAAAACAACAACAACAAAACAAACAAAAAAAGAAAACCAAACCAAAAACAAAACCCACAAACCAGAAAAAAAACAGCAAAGGTGGCCTAGGACTCTGCTGTAACCTATTGTGTTTACATGTGTATCTTTTGGTTCCCTACAGCTCTTCTACAGGGATCAATGGCTTTTTACTCAGTATTTGCTCTTCTGAAGGGAAAACAGGAGGGAACGTACCAGCACTTCAACCAACTAGAATAGGTGGTTGGGGGGGACAGATTATCATTTGTTGTGAGTTTGGGGTTTTTTTTAGGCTAATTCAGAAATCAAGTACTCAAAATATGTTCATCCCCTCCTACCATCAACTTGTGCAGGAAGTAAAACGCAAGTAAAATGTTCTTTAAGGATCTTATATGTAAAGAAATAAATCCCTGTAGCAACTCTCTCTGAAACAAAGATGAAAGGCAATAGCATATTCTGGTGAATATTGCTAATAAAGTCATAGAAGTTTATTAATTTTTAATCCATTATACTCTGAAAATGCAAAATACTATATTTATGTAACTAATCTGTAGGTTACTTGTGTAACCAATTTTATTAATGCATATATGTTTTTCTCAAAATACACAAATATTGCAAAAAAAGATTTTGCAATCTTTTCACTAAATAACCAGGGTCTGCCCACTGGAATGAATTGGATTTTCCTACTATTTGAAGATAGAAGGCTGAAAAAAGCATAACATTTTCTTATATTCAAGAAAGGAAAAATGGCAATGTGTTCATGGATGGAACATGCACACTTGCCCCCTGTATGTTTATTTTGTATGCACAGTCTGAGCAATCTTCACCCAATATAAGAGAATGAGCATTATAAATAGTTGAAATGGCTCCCAGAATAAATACCTGTTTCTTCACCAAATTATCGATTCTGGATTACTTAAATTAAAAGGTGCCTTGCCACTATGTCTAAATCTAGCCTTGTATTATATAAATTGTCTTTTATGCTTATTTCAAATGCCTTAGAAATGGTCTGGGAGCACATTTAGCTTTGGTTGCAGCACTGTTTTTCCAGTCACACTAATTACTGTCAATACATAACAGTAACAAGGAATGTGTAATCATATCTGTCATGACTGGAAATTAAAAAGTGTCATGTTAATTGAGAATCTGAATTTCCTGTTAGGAATAATATTACTTTAAGAAAAGGCCATTTAATTAAAAAAAAAAAAAAACAAACAAAAAAAACCAAATAGAATTGCACCAAGTTTTAAAATCACACGTTATAATTCAAACTGTCAGGAAAGCATTAAGTTATCTGGCAAGAGTAGCACTTACGGACATCATCTCTGAAATAGCTGATTCTTTTAATTAGGTCTTAATTTAAATATTTTAAAATGTATATATAATCCCTGACAATGTTTTGCATCTCATTTGTAGACAAAGTTTCTGACTTTCATGACATTGTTTCCATTAGCATACAGTGAGAAAACAATTTTTCTACTGCTGTAAAAAAAAATGACAGAGCATCATAAAAAGCCTAGATTAAAAAAAATCTGTCTAAAAATCCAAACAATTAGCTACTATAGAAAAATGGTTACGAGGAAATTTTTGATACAGTCTGAAATATTCAATATTCTACAAATTTGTTGTACTTCAGGAACAATCTCACATTACAGGAAATCTGCAGACTGGCTAGATGGAATTTTAAGGGTGGAGGGTTGTCATTAACGTATATCTATGGCATGATAAACCATTTTATCCTATTATAAATAAAATATTATGATGTCAGCATAACATTATATAGCATAATATGCTTCCTCAGACACTGGTTTAGAGAATTTTTTCTGAAACTATGTAAAAGTCATTCATATCTTCATTAAATCACAAAACACCTAAAAAATACAAATTTTAAGCATTTTTTTGCTGTATTAAGCACCATAAATACTGTATTTTTATAAATTTTTTTTCTTTTTTTTTTTTCTTCTGTTGCTGCCTTTCTGGGCTAGTGAGATTAATCTCTTTGAGAAATACAAGACAAGGGAATAAACATAGCAAGGAAAGACACCTACTTGACTGCATGGTTCTTGCTGAGATTTCTGCTGTTGAAGCACCCAGGCCTTGTGGAGAACGTGCAGCTAGACGGAATAAGTACAAGCTGTTTGGCCTTAAGCCTTGCAAGCGATAAGATGTAGTAGGTTCAGTGGAAACCCGTTGCTAAAGATAGGTAATAAGAAGAAGTCTTCATTAATGTTCAGAGATTCTGCTTTCCATATTTTGCCTATAGAAGACGTGCTTTTATTCTCTCATGATAACCCAGTTGAGAAAAATCTAAATTCAAGAATGTAACTCAGGACAGAATCAAACAAAAATTCAATATATTACTTTTGGCAAACGCACATTAAGGAAGAATATTTGTTAAAGTCAATGGCCTAACAGGTGAAACTCGGAGCCAGAAATACTGTTTGACTGTTTGAGGAAATAACAGCTGTGTACAAAGTATAAAAGGCTTTTTAGACACTAAGATATGAGCAAAGACTTACTTTTAGCAACTTCTGAGAGTGAACTACAGGATTTTATAATATGAGTAATCTTGGGTATAACCTCGTATTTAAATTTGTGTTCAAATTATCAAGAAGCAAATTCTTCCAAAGAGTAGCTTATTAAGCAGGGGCCTGCAACCTATTTGGAGGTGAAATATGGATCTGGCTCCCTTGCACAAAAAAAAGCTTATGCACTGATATTGTGTATGTGAAGCCACCACAAACATCAGCTCAGTTGAAGCATCAGCAATGAGCTGATGATGCAGGCAAAACCAATGAGGCTGACATTCTCCTGCTGCCTTCTGAGACTGCTGGCTTCTTTCTTTTTGTGTGGGACACCTGGCAATATCACACAGTTTTCGTATCAGGAGAACAGTTTATTCTAAAGTGTATGATACTAACACCACAGAGGCGCTTAAACTGAAAATTCTTTTAAGAAATAATGGTACAGAAAATGGCCATTGTAGGCTTTTATCTTTATTTCTTCTCAAGTATTACTCAAAGATTAGAGAAGCCCGAGAACTATTAGATGGTGGCAAAGAGAAACAAAAATTCTCCAAATCTGAAATAGACTTCAAAGTCCAAAGGGTAAGTGCAAAAAATCTTCCTGAGTCCATAATATCTCTGCTTCCAAGCCACTGTAGAAGAACAGGCTTAGAGAGACATGATTAATGTCTGAAACCAGATGCAACTTCTGTGGATAACTCGTGAGCAGCAAAGTTCCACTGGCTAGTAATCATTGACACAGCATGTTCTCCTGTTCACACACTCTCAGTCAATCATTAGGCTGACTGCTAGGTTTAACAAACTGTTAAACATCAAGGCATTTGTACTAAAGAAAGTTACTAATCCATCAGTTTTAACCATTGCATCATTTTATGTCTGACTCATTAAAGAGTATTTAAAAGATGTATAGTCTTACCTCTTCCCCATGCTCCCCATCTTTGTAAACTAGTTCATAGCTGGAAATGGTATCAGAGCGTGGAGGTGTCCAGGAAAGTAATATGCTTGTTTCAGACTCAGGTTCTGCTTTGAAGTTCAATGGCTGACCAGGCACTAAAGAAGAAGTTGAGCAGTGTTGCCAATTGTTTATTTGGCTAGTTCAACACTTATGTTTCAAACCTTTTAAACTATTGTCTGAATATTTCACACAATACTATTTTCATTGAGCTTACTGAACTTAAATGAATTGATTAAGTATACTATGAAATAAATTAATCTGAGCTCAGAAAAGAATAATGATATATTTAATTCAGACACTACAAATTATCAAAGATTTCAAATAAATGCTTTGCAGTATAAGTAACATACACAGAACCGAAATGCAATTGAACAGAAGCTTCATGATAAATACCAGTATCATGGTAGAGAAGGAGAAAAAATGACTGCTGTAGCTGAACCCAGGACAACCAGCAATCTAATAATTTACATGTGAAATGTTGAACATACACGTATGCATATATATGTGCGTGCATATGGGAAAATGTTAGAATTGTGTAAGATTGGCTGGAATAGTCAAGAAGAAAGTGTTAAAACCATCACATGCATCTGAAAATGGTTTGCTCAGCTCATAAATAATGATGATACTAAATACAACCTGGTCTTTAAGAAGACACCTAAATATTGAATGCTTTTGCAATGTGAAGATGTTATAACATGCTGAAAAAATTTCCAGCAATGTAAGAAATGATATATTTCTACCCTTTTTTTTCCAATATAGCTGAATTTCTAGTAACTACACTTTCTAATTGCAAGAAATAAAAATGCAACTTTGATTCCAGTAGCCAAGAACATTCTCTGTTGCTATGTCTTGTGCAATGGTCACAGAAATTATCCAGGCTAAATGTTACCCTCATTTACTTCTACATATCTATGGTAAATAATGAGGTTGTCTGGGAGATGACAGCAAAATATAATTCATTCAAATGTATATCATAATTCTAGTACCCAAGTTCTAAAACATTACTTTCAGTTACAGCACTGTTGATAAGGCATGAAACAGTTTTCCATGACATTTCTAGCTTTTCAAGAATAAAATATGGCATGCTTTTGTTTCTTCAGAAAAAAATATGAGATGCACTTCTTAGCACCTACTGAGAAAAGGCACAACAAGTAGGCTGTGACAACAGAGATTGTTTCAACATAATTTTTCAGGATACAATCTTATTACAGCATTACGAGTATATTTCTGTTGTACAGCGGAAGACTTAGAAACACAATAGAGCAAATGGCAAAAAATAATTTGTGATTGTAATTTTTTTCTTCCCCAGATTTCTGTGGAATGTCACTCTGATGATAGCACCACCTTTGTGTATGCTGGTAAAGCCTAGATACCTAACTTTGGACAGATAATCTGTCAACAAACAGCATATTCAAGCTCCTGTGTGGAGGTTGCAAATCCTTACCATTCACTTTTTTTTTTTTTAAATTTTTTCCCCATACAGGATGAAATAGAAAAGGAAAGTTGTAGAAGGTTATTGCCTTTTTCTGAGGGAATGAATAAGAATGAGCAGGAGACCAAGTCTCTTTATAGGAACAAAAAAGGACAGGAGTAATTAGCTATTTTTTCTAAAAGATGCCTGGTATAAAAAAGAGACCACTTCCTAAGTACTGCAAAGTGCAAAAGGAAAGAAAAATCACAAAGCACAGGGAGCAATTACAGGAAATATCAGAAAAGTATTTTTGACATAGATGGTTCTAACTTCATCCTTTTAAAACTGAATGGATTTGAAATGAAGAGGGATAGAGTGGGATAACTGGATAACTCCTGACTTTGAAACAGATTCTGAAGTACTACTAGATTAAGCTTTAACTTTGCAATCTACAGCCTAGTTGTAAAAACGCATTTACTAAGTGAACATGAGAACTTTTTAGGTTAGCCGACTCAAAACACTCCTGAGTGCAAACCAGACAACAGCTGCAGATTTTGCTGCTGTTTAACATGGCTTAAAGGAGATGTGGAGCCCCACTGCAGGCTTGCCTAAACTTGGTAATAAAATCTGGGTCTAGGCAGCTATTTGAAAGCTTTCATTTTTACTACAGGTTGTTCCTAATCTATTTAATGAAACTCAGGTGGGTACCTGGCTGTAGGCATTTTATTTGCTTCATCTGACAAAAAGAAAAAACGTTGTAAAACTGGCCATGATTTGCTTCAGTGTGTGACAAAGAACAGGAAAAGAAGTATTTTGGTGAAGTAACTGAGCCACACAGATGGAGTAATAAAGTCATTTTAGCCTGGTCCCAGAAGGTCAAACAGCAGCTTGTATTACCTGTGCCACCTTGTGTCTGACATCTCTATCACTGACCTGGAGGAGGTGATGGAGGGCACACGTTCCAGGTTTGCAGATGATATCAAGCTGGCGGGGACCAGTTGACACACTCAAAGACCAGGATGATGCTGAGAGGGAGCTGGAGAGCAGGGAGGGACATAACAAGCCAACTTTTTTTTCAGCAGGCCCTGTCCTGGGTAGGCAGAGCCTTGCAGGGATGCAGACTGCAATTGATGGGGCCAGGGAGCTGCTGCGGGGATGGTCCTGAGCCCTGATGGGCAGCAAGCTGCACCGGGGCCAGCTGCGTGCCTATGTAGCAACAAGGGCCAGTGGTGGCAAGGGTGGTGTGAGCACAAGATGGGCCTGAGAGCTGGGGGGACACGGACTGTCTGTTCTGTGCACTTCAGACCACATCTGGGTATTGCATCTGTTTTTGCGCCTCAGAAAGATGGCTCTGGGTTGGGGCACTTGCCCTGCAAGGAGAGGCTGCAGGATTGGGCTGGTTCAAATGGGAGAAAGGATGGCTTTTGGGGGCACCCACCAGCATGCCCTACACTGAGGAAAGGGATGGGAGAGCCAGGCTCTACACAGCAGTGTGCGGCAGGAGGGCTAGAAGCAGCTGCTCAGGCTGAAATACAGGATGCTCAGGCTGGATATAAGAAGCCTTTTACAATGACAGCCTAGCAGTTGAACTGGAGCCCACGGAGCTTGGACCACATCCAGCCTTGGGCAGGTTTGTGCCTCAGCTGGGTGAATACCTGAGCAGCCCAGCCTGACCCCGTGACCAGCCTGCTCTGGGCAGGGGCTGAGTCTGGAAACCTCCCCAGAAAATCATCCTACCAGCCTAATTGTCCTGTGATGTTATGACCTGTGCTTAATGTATGGATACATGAATTGTAGAACACAGCTAGGCAGTAATGGTAACACTAATAATTTAATAGAAATAAAAAATGGTCAAGTGATCCATATGAAGGTTGGTACCACCTGTTATGATAAATACGGCAGCAGATGGAGAACAAAGGATATTTCCTGACTCTCTGCATGTTTTAAGACACTCATCCTCCAAGAATTCCTTAAAAAAAAACAACCTCTAACCTTTATGGTCTTAGGTCTGCAATTCTCTATCATTTTATAAGACAAGTTGATGGTTAATTGAACTTTCCCAAATGCTGTTTGTCAAAATAATATCTTGCTGCAAAAGCTAGTCTCCCCTCACATTTTTGAACCACAGTTATGCAACTCTAAAACTGAAAACACTGACAAAAGAAAGAGGTGACAGGGAAATCTGCATTGCTCCAAACAGATAGAGAAGATGAAGAAGAAAGAAAACAAAAACAAAGTAACAGAAACTAAACAAAATGTATTGCTGATAAACTCTGCTAGGGAAACCAAGGCTTAAGCCAAAGAAAAGTACCAGGTAAGAAAGTGGAATAATAACTTTTAAACTCTTTAGGATTTATGCCTAGAACACACAACATCTGTTCAAAAAATTCTTCAGTGGCTCATGGGAACTATGCCAAACCGGAGAAGCTGACAAAAGGCACTGGTCTCCCTCAGAGACAGAAAATGCCTAGGGTTCCTAGCCTGTAAAATCTATTAAATTGTCTTTATACTCTTGGCTGAAGTGTTTTTAACTTCACAGATCAAATCTAACTTTCCATTTTAGTGCTCTGCATGGTCAGCTCAGTGAATAGATGCTCATTGCATGAGCAGTCTCTGAATATTGTCTTTTCTGTCTTCTCTGGTTTGAGGTCAGTGTGCTCTACAAACATAAAGCCCCATAACTTCCTTCTGTACCAAGTATACCTCCTGACTGTAAACATGATGTAACTTAAGTAGTACACATGATGAAATGCTACAACGTAGTGACAAAACAAAGAACAAAGTCCAGAATTACTCTTTTTAAAACTTCTTTCCAAGTTCTACCCTTTTGTTTGCCTAGTCCTCCATGTTTATTGCTGGATAACCAGGAACACAAATTTCTGGACCTTGTCTTGCATATGTGGTTCTACATCTATCCCTAATTCAAGTACCGGAAGAGAATCATAAAATGAGATCTCACATTTAGAAAGTCACTTTAGTTCCCTGCACAGCTCCTCAGCTGGCTGAAGAAACCAGAAAAACACTCCAGGCTGTCCTGGGTTTGCAAGTAATGCTGGAAAGAGAAGAGAGTCTCCAGACTGAAAAGGGACTCATGACATGGTAAAATCCATATCTAGAGCAAACTCATTCAGCTCAATTAGAAATTGGTTTTGCAAAGGACAAGAGATTGATCAAGAGAATTTACAAATTTGAAACTGAAAAGGACCAAGAGTTCATGCATCTGTGCTTGCTCTGGAAGAAGCATGAAGCTCTACAGAGAAGCTCTTACAATTGAGAAGTTAATGTGCTCTGGAGGTTTTGTTTTTTAAAACAATACTTGCATTTTTGAAATACCAAATTATCATGGAATATAATTACAAAATAAAATGGGTAATGTATTAAAGGTATATGCATCCTTCTCTCCCTCTGTCTTTCTGCTAGAACAGAAATAACCTCTTCAAATGAGTCTGAAAATAGTTGAGGATTGTAGTTCTGCAGTATCAAACACAGAACCACAGTATTTGAAATATTATCTACATTTTAAATGTCCAAAAAGCCTAGCACATTTTGTTAAAACAAACCAGAAATCCGTAACTTACTTTTTAATATGTGTAACTCTGAGGCAGCCCACAGAATAAAATAACGTTAGTCGGTCTTAAAGACATACTCCCCATAGTCTTGTCTGAATGACTAGAGAACACAGTGAAGAGACTAATTGTTCTTCAGAGTAATTCTGTCTACACTATTTCTACAGCATAGCAGTAGAGTTGTTTTGAAATTATTTCAAGATGCATTTTCCATACCTAAGTTCAGCGACAAAAGTAATAGTTCTACATTTTCAGTGCTCATTCATGTATTTGCAAAACAGAATTGAGAGATGAAAAATCAGAAAGATCCCTGTCTGAGGGCAAGATCCTCAATATTGGTCTCATCATGTTAGCATTTAAATGAAGTAAACACAGAGACTGGGATATTTAACAGAATTCAACCGTGCTCTGAGAGCAGAGGGGTTATTGAAAAGCTGAAATATTTTTTCCTACCTCACCAGAAATGTTCCTTAAGGGGAATTTTGTCACTTACTTAAAAACAATCCTGCCCCTCATCGTGGCTCGAAATTATTCTTCTTCCACCTGCTTCTTTGTGTCAGGTTTGAGTTTCCAGCTGCATGCTCTCAATCCTTCACTTGTGCAAGTCTATTTCCATTAGGTGCTTCACTAGGAAGCTAGTACTGTGGAGTTTCAGTAACATAAGGTTTCCCCATTCACATGTCCATGAAAAAGACTGAAATCATAAAGTAGCTAGCTTGGTACAATACAGAACTGTATTTGTTTGCTACAGACTCCCTTCCTCTTGAATGTCTAATCTTCTTTTACAATAAGAACTCCAGAACCATTGATTAATTTCCCTTAAGCTAAGGCTCCGTTTATGTGCCCTCCAAGTCACATACTTGACCTTTTCATTACTGTCCTTTTCCATGTGTTCAAAAAATCAGCTTTTCATAACTGTAATAGTCTGTAGTCTTCAAACCACTGCCAATCCTTAGTTTAAAATTAACAGTATGTTTTATATTGTAAGTTCTTGTTGAAAGCAGCATACATTTACAGGTAGACATTCACTACCCAGAATGTATTTTCCCTCTCTCTCAATAATCAACTACCTAATAGATCCTGTGTACCTCTCAATTTCCCCTCTTTCTTCTGAAGATCAGAATAAAACAGGATCTCTGAATTCCTTCAGAAGCTTCCTCTCTTTGCACATTAGAACCCAACCCAACCCAAACTAAGACATTCAGTTTAAAGCTCAAGAATTTTCCTGGTACACACCAGTTTAAAAGTACTGTTCAGAAAACATGTACTTCTGACCAGTTTAAGCGAAGGAAGGAAAAATGCGAAGATACATAGTAAGTGTGTCCTGGGCAGCTAAATGGAGACAAAGCAACAAAGCCTTTGTTTTCCAGTGAAGTAAAGAAGTATGGAAGTATAACACTAAAGCTTATACCGATACTTCTCTAAAGTTTGACGATAGTAAGTCAGTTCACCTAAATAATACCCTGATCCTGACTCCATCCTCAGCAGAATCAAATCCTGTGATTGAAAATGGAGAATAAGGTCTTTTGGAAATGATCTTCCCTTACTCAAAAGGCTCATTTCTACAGATATTTTCTGGTTATGCAATTTCTTTATATCTTTTTACAGTAAAGAAAATACTGCTGAAAACAATTAGACAATCAATAGGACATGGCTTTTTCTTAAAATGCTTAAGATGAATATTGAAACAAAAAAAAAGAACATGAATTTCTTTCTTTATGTTTGGTTCCCTGAAAAATGTTTCCTTCTCTTCCCCTCAAACTATACGTTTCTAGTTGATATTCGAATTAGAAACCTAATTTTAACTAGCAACAGTTTCAGCAGACTTGCAAGTGAGAAGGCACTCATACAGCCATTTCAAAATATTAATTCTGCTGTACTAAGACAGCAAAGATTCTTGTGAACAGGCTTCTAGAAAACAAATTATTAATTTTCTGTAATCTCTCTCTAAAGATCAGAATACACATAAGGGATGAAAGCTTTGAAGGAAACCAAGCTAACAGAGCCTATAAGTCATAGCTGTCAATCAGATTCTCATGTATAGATACTCTAATATCCCCAGAGTAAGCATAAGAGTTAAGCTACATGTTTACAATGATAAGCTTATTTGTTTCAAAAAAAAGGGAAAAATAATCAATCAAAATATAATCACCACCCCATTCCTATTTTTACTCCTTTACATATGCTTCCATTAAATGCATTTCTTCTGTTTTTAAATGGCACTCTATGATTCACTATGTTTATCTGGATGAGTTTCAAGTTTAAGAGAGATTTAAACCAAAACAATCATATTCAGATTTATATTACAGCTAATCTGGAGGGAAAAGCAAGGAGAACATTTTATTCTGCAGTGTTCACTGAAGAGAAACTGCTGCACAGAAAGCCAGGACAACCTTAATTTTTAAACATATCCTGAACTGAAGAACTGCCCTAGACTTTCTCAGCTATTTTTCTCTTTTCTGACTTAATATGTTTGTATTTCAAGCACAAAAATTACTCCTTATGCCACATTTTTGGTTTTGTTTGTTAACATAGTCACAAATAAACAATGTCAAAGTCAACTCTGTTACAAAGTTGAAAATGTATTGAGAATCCCTCCAGCATTGAGGAGGGATGAATTTCTCCAGATTACAACAGTAATTGGAAACAGGTGGGCATGTTTAATGGCAAGTTCTATGAAGCTTTAAATAAACAGAAATTTTCTGAAGTGACCTCAGCAAGTCATGTAACTTAGACTGGTTCAACTGAGCCTCAGTGCTCATTATTTCAATTGCTTGCTCCGTCTCTGGAGAAGCCACTGACAAACTCTTGCTAATCTAAAAGGTTTACAGTTTTAAGTAAAAACACAGATTAGGATCTTACTAAACCTTCTTCTTTAAAAGCTTTTTGCACATGATTTCAAGAATAAGTCAGATGTCAGTAAAAACCTAGTCCCTCAAAAGGATTACAACTGCCAAAATTAAACTATGGTGCATATTTACATTTGCATGTGCACAGAGGCATTTTAAAGTATCACTAGGAGGCCTAAAAAAGTTAAAAACTTCTCAACTGAGACACTGCAAAAGGTAACATCTAGACCTTTGTGTAACAACATTTAGAAAGGTGCCAGGTCAATACCTCAATTTCTGTTCTCTTTTTTAAATACATACTGGTAAAATGCAGAAGTAAAAGGTGAATGAAACACGACTGTCTTCAGTGTCATTTTAGAGAAACTTATTTTAAGAATTCCAGGGCTGCTAGATCCTCCAATAGGGAGCTTTCCAGTACTAAAAAAAATCAAGTAATATTATGTAATATTTCTAGGTAATCACTGACCTACAGTAATAATTCATACGGCTGTCTCTAAACTGATAAAGGGAGCTTTTATTTCTTATTTCTACAGTAAAACACTTTCTGCAGTGTAGCTACACCAGAGCTACTCACTTTTGATTTCATAACAATTGTCTCTAATGTTTTTCACTATGCTTTTTTGTCCTTTGCTAATAAAACTAATTCATGGACCTAAAACTCCTGTACAGAAACAAAACAAATTTACTGCAAACATTATCCAAGAAAATTGTGACCTTGTGGTATGCTCTTTGTAGAGGTAGGCTGGATTTGATTTATATATCCAAGTGCACACAACTGCTTGCTTGAGTCTATACAAAGGTTTGTTGTTTTTTTTAATGCTTTCATGTTTTACATGTTTTCAGAACCTTATCAACTATTTGAATACACATGAAGCACATTCCAAAAGTAAGATTCAGTAATGAACATCAGGGAGTCACTCTCCACCTGAAAAAAACCCAGCAACACAGGTAACTCTTCAAAGAAAACTGTGAAGAACTACTTGACAAACACTTTTGGTGCACAGAGCACTGCCAAACAGAAGCCATAACATTCAGCACCTCTAGGATGGAGATCTCCCTGAGACTTCACTTAAACTTCAGTAAAACTTCTAGAAACTGATGAAAAAAGAAATGAAAGTGTGAGAGGATAATTTTCCCTCTCCAAAGATAACCTGCACCATGGAATGGAGAAAAGGTTATCTGCAAAAGCTGCTTGAATAAACTGGCTATCCTTGAGAGGAATAGTTTTTAAACATTTTAAACTCAAATTCTCTCTCTGCAAAATTTCCGCATATATTATTCTGTTCATTGCTAACTTACCTCCTGTCTGAGTGATGACTTGTATGTCACTAGAAAGTGGTCCATCCCCAACAGAAGTAAAAGCAAGAACCTTCACGGAGTATGTTTTCTGGGGTACCAGATTTCCAATAGTGGTAATATGACTGTCAGCCACATTGTGCTTCATCCAACTGTTGACATGTTGAGTGGGATCCATGGTGTAATAAACTCTGTAACCTTGTATTTGCCCATTAGGTTCCTCAGGTTCTTCCCACTGTACCAAAATAGTGGTGGAGCTCAACATACGGGCTTGCACATTGCGTGGTGCACTTGAAGGTGCTTGTTCTGAAGTCCTTGTTGACACAGGCTCACTAGGTGGCCCTCGTCCAATGTTATTTACAGCAACTACCCGAAATTCATACTCTGAATATGGGCTCAGGCCAGCCACGCTATAGCGTGTTGTTGCCACCCCATCAATTTCTTTATATGGCTCCTCAGAGTTTTTGGGTTTGTGTTGGATTATGTAGTAGGAAACTGGTTCAGGGTTTCCAGAATCCCAAGTCAATGTTATGCTTGTTGCTGTGCTTTCTGTCACCACAGGTGTTCCAGGAGGTTTGGGTAAAGCTAAAGACAAATGCCAAAAAATGCAGTTAGCACTATGCAATATTAGACATTAGTTATTACAATAAGCAGCTTAAAAACCAAAACCAACACCAACACCACCACCAACAACAAAAACAAACCAGGAAGATTGGAATGGAAAGAAGATGTGGTTCGTTCAGAGAAAGCTTTTGGCAATTGTGATTTACTCCAGAAATCTGTCAGAAAATCCTCAAGTTTTGTAGTGTAAAGTTTATTTGATATTAATGATATTGACTTTGTAATAGATCCCATAAACATATGCAGAAGATGAATCTTTTAAGCAGACAGTTCACCATTACAATAGAATTCTCAGGTATTTTTGGAACCTCTAGTTTACAGTTACTCAGTGAACATGATACTCGGACACCCAGCAACTCTAAAAATCAAATGACTGGTTTTTAAAGGCTCCTGCTGTTGACAGGTATATGCAAGAGTACAAGAGCCTTTATTTGCTTGAAATGAAGGCTGGGAGCTAGACACAGGGGAATAATGGAATAGTATGATTAAATTACTTAATATTATTATTATTATTGCTGTTTGAATCTGTATTTTTATGCCAGTGATTAGCTGGAATATTTACCCTCTTGATTTAAGAAGGTAAGAGGCATTTAGTTTCTTTCAGTTAAAAATATTTGCTCAGAATATGGCAATGAATGGAAGAAAAGACTGAACTATGTCCAAATATATGTTCTTGGGATATACCTTTGACTGTTATCTGTGCTATTGCTTCTATAACACCAAGGGTAGACATAGCAACACAAGTATAGTTTGCAGACTGCCTGACATCATTAAGCTCAAGAACGTTCCTCCCTATTGGCATATCATCCTCGGGTGTCAAATCTTCTGCTCCTAGCATCCATTTCACATATGGCATTGGTGACCCCACCGCAACACACGTGATATTTACACTCCCGCCAGGCATGATCTCATGATTGGTGGGGGGGATAGAGAACCTCGGTGGGACCCGTCGAACTGGAACAAAACACAGAAAAAGGTAATAACATATACAAAAAAAGAAACTGGATCTTGCATACAGACTACATGCAGTGTACAGACAATTTAACGTTTTAACATGTTATTCCGATCTGCCAGAAAATATGTATAAAGAAGTATGAGACTAAACAAGAATTTTGTCTGCACACAATGTGGATTATTCTGTATTTACTGGAGGATATTATTAAGCACATTCATACAAAGGCTGATTCAGACCTATTGGGCCCCACAATTAACTAACTACATACTAACAATACACAAACACCATGCAAAAGATATACACACGCACACGTGCACACACACACACACACGCACATGTACATATGCATTTTATATGCCCATACATATATAAATGCACAGAAGAAAACCGGAAGGCCAACAGCATGCTTGAGTTGATTACTGAAACCAACTTCAATGCTGTGTGCTTCCAGCTGATGTGAATGAATGTGCTAGGCCACATCATCACATCACAGTCTTGAAACACACTGCCTACAGTACATTAAAAGTGCAATTTCATTTGCTTTCAGACTCAAAGTAGATGCAGCCTCAAGACCTTACACTAACACTGAAACAAACATAGAAAAAAATATAATTACACACAAATACAAATATATATATACACACACATATATATATA